TCCCTGATTGAATGGAATAAGAGCCCATCGAGTAGAGCGTAAATCAGATTTTCATGTTTTTATTACTTGTAATTGTTGTTTTAATATACAAAAAAGAAAAGTAATTTTTTAAAAAAGAAGAAACACAAAAAGAATAGACAAAAGTCACATTATATGGCATACAATGCAGCCTGCTTTTAAAAAAAAAGTCATTCAATTTTGATCACACAAAATGATATTCATTAGTTCTTCCATTACAAAGAGGCAACTTAAATATAGCAAGTGAACATTTTACTGAGAAGTCCTTGGTACTCTCTGAGCTTGGTTGCTTTCTTGCAGACATTTCATTACCCAAACTAAGTAATAGCATTAGTGCTATGATGACGTTATCTAGCTTGGATAATGAAATTTCTGCAAGACAACAACCAAGCTCAGAGAGCACCAAGGATCCCTCATTTCAACCCCGAGCTACAAATATTCTCCTTCATTCGAACATTTTACTGTAATCCAAAATTGTAAATCTAGAGAAGCAATAACAATTAAGCATGGGGCAAATTATCATATTTGCTGTCCCTTCAATAAGTCCATAATACTTACACAGTGGTAATTTTTGAATTGTTTCACATATAATTCAAAATTATGCTCTCATCTTTAAAATATAATGATCATTGCATTATTATATTATGTTTAATGTATATCAAACCAAAATGGAAAGAAATGTTCCTTCATCCAATTCATGCCTTTATCATCTCTCAGATGGACTACTACAATTCACTTCACATAGAACCCCCCCCCTTGAAAACTTCTTGGTAGCTTCAGCAATGGCCCATGTGTTTGCTGGACAGTCATGTCATGACACACCATTAGTTCAGTTGCTATGTTCATTGCTTGTTTGTTTCCGGATATAATTCAGGATTTCAGGCCTACCTTTAAAGCTTCACACAGGCTCAGGGGAGCTACAGATAGCCTTCCAAATTAGGTTCTGTCTGCCCAATTTGGACAACCAGAGAACATCTTATGAAGGTATCCTTGGGCCAGAAGCTGAAGTGTGAAGACGCATAAAGTTGAGATTTCTTCCCAGAAGCTCCTTGCTATGGAACACAGCTACTCTTGTCCTAGCTTTCTAGAAATTGATAAAAGCTGGCTGTTCCAGAAGATTTTTGTTTGTTTGTGGAATATCAGTAGCGATCTTAACTATTAATTTGCATTTTATGCTTATGTTTTAGGTGTTATATTATAAAATATTTTCATGTTTAGTATCAGTATACTACTTAGAATGTATATTTGGAATGAGATAGCAGACATAGACAATAAATAAATAAATAACCAACTAAGTCAGTGCTACCAAGAAAAAAGAACAAAGCAGAAACACTGTCAAAACTCCCATCAGGGATTTGACCGAGCAAGCCCACTACTACCTTGCACAGCTAAAGCAGATATTCCCACATTATCTTTGTAAGTAGGATGATCTGTGAAAAAAATTGCAATTTCCCCCCCTAGATTATTGTTGTATTATGGCTAATGAATATGCCACAACTCCTATTATTACTGTTCTGAGAAATCTTTACCAGGAACACAAAGTTACTGAAAGAATTGAAATTGAAGAAAAGAGAATGGGTCAGAATTGGAAACAGGTATAACAAGGGTGCATATTTCCATATATCTATTTAACTTTTACAACAAATATACTGTAAAAATAGCAAAATCAGAATTGATGACAGCAGGAATCAAAAGAAAAGGATGAAACATTAACAATTTGAGATGAGCAGATGACACCATTGTTAATCAGGAAAAAAAGATTTAGAATATCATTATACAAGCATTATTGTTATTGCTTGTAAAGTAAAACATAGATTAATATTAAATATTAAGAGAATGGTGATGTTAATCAATGGGCTTAGTGAACTCACTATTCAAAAGTGAAGCTGGGAAGAGTGTTTGGTTTTCTTGGGCTCAAAATAAATAAAGATGGACAATGTACTAGAGAAGCAAAGAGAAAATTAATTCTGGGGGGGGTGTCAATGATAAACATATGCAATACCATGAACAATAAAGAGATTTCTAAGCTTAACAGTGCTCAATGCTATTAGATATTTGATGTCTGAATAACAACATATGTAAATACAATTAAAAATAAGAAAATCTCTACTTAGGCGTGCACACAACCTAAAGGATGTGTGACAAAAGAAAAAGACATGAAATCAGAAAAATAATAATCCCCAAACAAATGCAATTGGACAAAGAGCTGTTAATACACCAATACTATTCCTATGGAATAATTTTGTATCCAGGTCAAATGTAAAACTTTATATTGTTTTTATTGTTATTTTCATGTAATACCATCAGTTCAAGCTAACAGGTCAGCTAACACCAAGAAGCTTTAGAATGCCTATAGTTAATAATCATTCATAAAACTAAAGAAATCTTATCTGTGGATGACTAAGGCTGCAATGGACATAATAAAGCCCACAATGTTGTGACTGATCCATAACTGCAAATATTACTTTAATGTGATGCACTTTAAAGGTATTCATGGGATAGTTACCAAAAGAAAAAAATGTTTTTCATTACAGTTTCATTACATTTCTAAAAAAAATCTGTTTTTATGCTACAGTACAAATAATAAAATATCAGAATAGTGCCACACTAGTAGCTTTTGAAAATTACAATACACAATACAATTCTAGGAGCATGATAAGAGAAAATACTGGCTGTGCCAGCCATTCATTCTTTGAGGTTACTTGTACAAGAAAGAGGTAAGGACTGGGAAAGCAAATGCTATAGTAGATCATGTACTATTAAGTATCATTGCTTTAGTTACTGAATGTAAATTGTAAACTGCAAAAAATGCTTACATGTCTGTTATGGAATAGTTGTCTCAATAGCTTTACTGAGGCTGTTTATTGTCTGTTTTAAAGCACAGTAAAGGTGACTAGCAGCACATAAAACTAGATAAGATATAAAATAAACAATATTTGAAATTCTAGTTCACTGTATCTTAAACATTCAGAACCAAAACAAATTTTATCTTTAGCTATCACTTAGATCAAATACTATATATCAGAGATTTTACATCTGTAGATGCATTAAAATTTCCATCTAATGCTGAAGGGGGCTTAAAAAATCCTAGTAGTTGAGATACTGAGGTTTCTATCTTTCAATGTGCTAAGCAAAACTCATTTATAACCAAGCTTATTAAGTATATGATAATATTCAGTTATCATAATGATCAACAAGGTGTTGAGTGACTTAGAGTCTTTATTTTACAAACAGTACTGTAACACCAAGCAACAAGGATATCACTAAGCACTTTCAGCACCATGGACAGCATCGAGCCTCCGCAGCACTGTGGGCCTATGTTCCATCAGACAGGATTGGACTGTACCTTATCTGATTCAGTTTACAGTTCAGAATAATATACAATCTCAACACCTCCTTCTCCTTTTCCTTAAATATGAAGCAACACTTACATCGATCATAAGGACAAGCTTCCAAGACATTAGCAATAACATGTGTAACGTTGAACTGTTTATTATATCCCCAAAGTCTGGATATCACAAGTTTATTTATAAAGATACTATCCTCAAAGCAAACTTTTAAAATAAGTTGCTTTAAAAAAAACAGAAAACTCTTCTTGACCAATAAATATTTCCTGAAGGACTACTTCTTGGGGGGGGGTTAAAACTGGTTCAATCTAAAAGTGTTTTTGGATATTTTACATTTTTTTGCTTTTTTACAAAACCTAAAACAAAATGCAGTGATCTTTAAGGTTTCTTAAGATATTCACTATCCAGACATTTTTCTTTCAAAATAATATTGCTGGCCTTTGTATTTTAAAGCATAACACAATTCTTACAGAAAGTGATCACATAGTCAGTTTAATTTGTTTAAAATAAAATCATACCATTAGCTTTAGAGAAAATTATTTTCATATGAATTCACCTGGGACAGCAACTGTAAAGAAATTCACTACAACAGTTACAACACAACAAAAAAATTTTGCTACACATGCAATTGTGGCTTGAGCAGAATGAGAAAATAATCAAGTGTGCAGTCACCACAATTCTACTACCATCAGGGCTTTCTACCCAGAATCACTGCAGAATTTATTAGCAGTTAATAAAACTGGAGTTAATCCTAACTCCAGAGATTTAATAGAGAAGATTTGAAGCACACACATGTGCCAAGAAAAAGAAAGTCCACCTGAGACTACTTCCTTTCCTCTATGACTCAATTACCATCCTCTCTAGTACTCCTCAGATAATCACCGAGATTTGATTCCCAACGGTTCCAGGAAGCACTTTAAAGCCCCCAAAGCAAAGCTTTCACAATGAATTCGGACAAGATTGTCCTTCAGAGAGACGCTGTAAGTACTTGACCAAACACGTAACTATTATTTCTCTGTCGTTTATTCTCGATAGTCCGGAAGTGTAGAAAAGAGAAACACCAAGCACGTTATCTTTGGTAGCACAGGAAACTATGAACTGTGCCTATTACACGCACACAAAACCCAAAAGAACATATATCTAGTTTCCATCATCTATTCATCCCTACAAACACAGCAACTTCAAAATAACTTCCTCTGCAAAGCAACTATTCTGGCCCGCTGACCTCTGAATGACGCCTCTTCCTTGCCAACTCCGGGAAACAACCGAAATCGCAAATCAGGTAAGGACGACATGGGAAAACCCCTTCCCAACTATGCTTCAACCTAACTATTCCCTTCCCCCAGCTCCAGCCCATGCACGTTCCTCACCTTGGATCCTACTCGCTGGCACGCCGCCACTTTTCCCTGCCAAGCCGCATTCCAGCCCCAGGCGAAGAGGTCCAGTGTCTCGCGGTTCTCAGAAGGAAACTACCTCTACCCTCCCAAGAGATCGAGGATGGCCCGCCCGCCGTTCTCTCCCCCCCTCCACGCCTTGACCGCGCGCTTCCTCGAAGATCGCAGGCCAACTAGGTAGCCACAGACCCCAAGGGTAAAATACACACAGCCGCCGCCGAAAAGCAAGCGAGGCTCCTACCTTGCAATCCTCCGGACCGGATTTCACCGAGTATTCCTCCGCCTGCAGGTATTTCTGGAGCACGAGCTCGAACTCCCGGTAGCGGTCCTGAGCTTGTCGGTCGTACCTCTGGTAAACCAGAACGCAGCGGCGGCAGGAGCGAAGCCAATCCTCCTCCCTGCTGCGCCGATCCCCTTCCCCAGCGCCCCAGTCGTCGTCTTCGTGATCCTCGCCGTGGTCCACAGTGCAGTTCAGCGTGTCCGGGCGAGAAAGCCCGGCGAAAAGCTCGCGCAGCGTATAGGAATTACAAAAGGGAAGGTAGAGCTCCGCCTGGGCCGAGCCCCCCGGTTGTAAGCGGCGACAGGCAGCCTCGGCGTCGCCCAGCAAGCTGAAGCACTGGCCGGTGGCCGGTGCGGCAGGGCTGCTGCTGGGGGCCGTCCCCCCTACGTCGTGCTCCATGCCCGGCTCCGCGCGGCGCTCCCGGTCCCGATGGCGCCCGGCGGCGACTTGCCTGGCCTCAACGCAGAGCCACAGGTGGTCGGAGAGCAGGACGGTGAAGAAGAGCAGGGAGGCCAACGACAGGCGCCATTTCTGTGCCCGCTCCGAGTCGGCGAAGGGCTTGTCGGTGTCCCGCGGGCCGAAGCACACGCCCGAGCCGGATCCTCCCGTGGGGCGGCTGCTCATATTTCGGGAGCGCGCAGCCCCGGCCGGCTCCACGGCGACGGGGGCTCCGCAGCCGGGCTCGACGGCCCCACGGGCATGGACACTGGGCGGCGGGGCGCCAGGCTCCCCCCTCAGCGAAGGGTGACGACGGGGGTGGGGGTGGCCGCGGCGGCGTTGTTGGTGCGAATGGTGGCGATGGTGCTGGTGCTCCTGCGCGCTGGGCTGGGCTGGGCCGGGCCGGTAGCCGTCCCCTGCCTCCCTCGCCTTTCCTGTCACCCGGGCATGGTCAGAGCACAGGCCCCCATTTTGGCGCCAACACCGCCAGTCCCCCGCTTCCCGCCCGTCGCCTCATGCCGCGCTCCACCGCCCCCACCCCCCACCCCGGCGCCCTGGAGAGCCACCCGGGGAACCCCGCGGACTGCGCCCCCGCTAGCCCCAGACGAGCTCCTGGCGCTGGGGTGGCTGCGGCTCGACAGGTTTCCGGGGCTGCTGGGGAGATTCCAGAGCGCCGGGGCTGAGGCTGCTGCAGTTCCTGCCGCTTCGGAGGTGGCGGCTTCTGCTGCTGTGGCTCCCGCTGCGGCTGGCTCTGCTTTCGCTGCTGTTGCTGCTGCCGCCGCCGCCGCTGCAGCGGCTGCTAGGAGTGTTGGTGCCACTGCGGTGCGGTTGCTGTGGCTCTCGCTGAAGCTCCCGCCGGGCACGATCCCTCCCGGCTCGCGGCACGGATTTGGTTGCCTCCTGCCGCCCGGGGGCCACCCTCATCTTGGGGCCCTGCGCTAAGTTGCCGCCATCTTCGTCCGGGAGAAGCACTTTTTTGGTGGAGAGCGCACGGCCCTTTGCGTCATCTCCTCCTGCGCCGCTAGCCTGGCGCATTGGCGGCGGCGGCGGCGCGGCTTGCTCTGCTTTCTTTCGACTGGGGAGGGGGCCGGAGGAGGAGGAGGAGGGAAGCGGAGAGGTTTGGGGAATTGCCTGCCACTCTGTGGCTCGTTCTCGCCGGTTTTAGGACGTTCTGGCTCGAGGGGGGAAATCTCTCAACTCTCTTCCCTCACCCTTCAGGTAAGATGGATGCCTCGGAGACCCTCGGGGTGAGTGACTCCGGCGTAGCTCTTGCCGATTTAAGGGATCGGTTTCCATTTGACCTGCGCGCCCCTTTCCCATCCACTCTTCCCAAAGCTCTAACCTTCGGTTCGTAGCGGCTGTTTCATAAACAGGCAGCAGCCAACTCTCCCCGAGCCACTTCGTAGTGCGGGAGGCACGCAGTTGCATAAAACTTTCTCTTCTGGCTTTTGCGTTTGTTTTTTTTTTTAAACAGAAAAGGCAGGCGCTGGAGTCTGACCGGAGACGTTTTGCGGAGAGAGGGGCAGAAAGCGCTAAATCCCATTTTGCCGAAAATCGGCCTCTGCGCTATTCTCCCAGCAGAATTTGATTGAAGAAAGTTCTTTTTCACAGGGCTAGAGAAAAATCTTTTGCGTTAATTGTATTTAATAATGATGATTGTGTTATGTTATGCACTATATGTACCTGCGCAATAATATTTTGGAGTAACAGATTTTGCCTTCCTAACTGAACTTGACCATAAGGACATTCCTTCCAATTCTGAAGCTCATTATTCTATTATAGAGAGAAGTGTTGCTGTGTGGGGGCTTGGAGTTTTAGATTACAAGTGAGTCTGTTTTGTTCTGGTGCACTCCTTATTAAAGGAGCTAATTAGGGAGTGAGGGGTATAGTTTTAGCCTTCAAAATCTGTTCTTGCTCTCTTCTTGAAGAAAAAAAAATATTGCAGGTGGGTATAAGGGAAGGATCAGGCAGCACTTAATGCCTGCCCACCCCCATCCAGATACTTCCAAGACTACTCATACTAATATTCACCATACTTCTGCTATTAGTGCAGCAACTCTCCATCTACATTCTAGTTTGATGGCCTGTGTTCAAGAACAGCTACAGCGCCACCAAAAGGATTTGCGGTAGAATAATCTGGCAGTAGGCCACATCCCAATCTGATGCCCATGTACACAAAGCAAATGCCAGCAAATGTGCTAGAGGATGTGCTTCTGAAAAGGAATCCATAACATTACAGCATCAGTTGTTCCAGTGTTATAATACCAATTAGAAGTTAGACTTTCACATGAAGTTTTATCTTACTCAATCCTTAGGTATCTTACTGATTGGCAGATAGGCACACTGGTTTTATGGATTTCTAGTATTATGAGGTGTTATCTTGTTAATATAGAAAACTGTTAGTTAAAATATTTAGATATCTAAATGTAATACAGATAATAATACACTTAAATGTATCTCTTTAGTCCTTTAAACATTAAAATGAAAGATATGTGATATCTTCTTTCAAAGAATGATGGCCTCAAATCTGAACCATTTCATATGCTATGTTATGCTACTGAATATTTTGTTTCCCACAGAAGCTAGTCATATATGTTGACCCAATATAATTTCAGTCCCAGTGTATCTCTTCTATGCTGTGTCATTAAGATATTGCCTAGTAAATGAGAAGCATAATACATACATAAAATTCCATTGCTTGTCCAAGCAATCTCAGAGAATCAGACACAAATGAATGGGAGAAAAAAATGGAGCTATTGAGATATTCATGTTAATGTTACAAGAGAAATCACAGGGTAATTCATATCAATCACATTATATGTTTGAATTTTGCTATTTCGGTATTAAGATTAATAAAACTTGCAGGATATGTTAAATTATATTATTAACTCCATGACTTTATGCAGTGTTTCCTACAGGAATGGTTAAGGATGTCATGCATGTTTATAGTGAGATTGACAAGGGTATCAGAATTACAGGAAACAGGAAACATTTCAAGAAGCAACAAAGTGAGGTCCCATCAAATTTTAATTTTGATTTATTTGTCCATTTCAGAGAATTCTTACAGGCTCAGATGGTGTATATATATATATATCAAAGTGAAGTTATATTAATAGTTGCCTATGGTAGCATTTTCAGATGGGTTCATATGGATTCATGGCACGGATAAACTTTTTGGACATTAATTACTATTTTCTCTCTGTCTTCTCCATTATGTTTAGTACCATCTCTTTGTTACGATTGCAGGATGGATTTTGGGACTTCCAACTACATTAAATCATGGCACTATAAGAGCACCTATGCTTTATCATGAAAATTTACCAAGTGTGTGCATGTGAACCTGGAGGAAATACAGAAACCAGCCCCAGTTCCAGATTTCTCCTTGCAGTAGAGCAGTGGTTCTCAGCCTGTGGGTCGGGACCCCATTTGGAGTCGAATGACCATTTCACGGGGGTCGCCAAACCATGCTGTCCGCCATTTTTTTCCTTTTTCCCTAGCTGTCCTACTCCCTCTTATTGGTGGCCACACCCCCTTGGGGGTCACCACAGCATGGGGAACTGTATTATGGGGTCACGGCATTAGAAAGGTTGAGAATCACTGCAATAGAGGATCAGGTTGAGTATAGTAATACCAGTAATATGCACCTATGGTGAACAGGTGAAGCACTTTTATTTTATTTCCTTTTATTTCTTTCCAGAGTGAAGGGGAAGTATTTGTCTTATTGCAGAAAATGAGAAGAAAGGCAAGATGTTCACAGCTGGTTCCTGATTGACTAAAACATCTTAGCTAATCTCCTGGCCAGAAATCACATTCTGATTGGCTTCTGGTTTTTGATGAGCATTGAGACTTACAGAACAGAAGTGCCTGTAGCATCTTGTGAGAATGGGCCATTCAAGGTGTGCTTCATTTCAATCCTAAAAATACAAGACTTAGGTGATAAAATGGCTGGAAGTACTGTCAGATAAGTTGCAAACTTGTGCCAAAATGTGTTTTCCAAGTTGGCCCAAACTAAGTATGATTATAGGAGACCTGTATTTAGTGTTCATTTCTACTATGAGCTATTTTTAATTGAAATGCAGTTAACAGAAGTATAGGAGGTGACTCATCTCTTCTCTTTGGGCCACTTCTTGAATCTTTGTATATTAATGTAAGGCTAAAGAACCTGGGATTGTTCATGTATTGGAATCCAAGTACCATCAATTCCAACCAAAATTAATGATAATTAATGATAAAATTTATATCCAGAAATATTCTTAGCCTCTGACTCACTACTCATGGTTTATAATTCCAACCCAAACTTTACTAACTTGGAAATAATTGTTAGAGATATTACTAGGGCAAAATCTTAAGTTTATATTACATGGAAAAACATATGTTACTTGGACTATTTCTAAATATACATTCAAAGCTACATTATTGTTAGGGAAGCAAATACTACATTATCTCTTAACATTTTGCATATTACATTTCCAGGAATGTATTTCTTTTTTTTTAGCCTAACATTTCCTATTATTAAATAATAGAAAACTTTATATATATTAAATGTTTTTATAACTTCCTACTCAAGTATTGATAAGATAGGAATTATTTCAAGATTTTCTCCACAGTAAGCCAGGTCAACAGATATTTTAAACTTGTGTCCGTGATCTACTTCATTGTAATGCAATTCAGCCATGCAGTGTTTTCAGCCAGAGAAATTATTTGGGTGGTTGTTCATATTGCACAATATGTCAGATTTGAAAAGATTTTTCATTAGTGCAGAAACAAATACAACAGTAGATATAGTGTGCTTCAGTGCAGCATTGTCTCATTTTGATAGATTTGTGCTTCTTTCTTGGAAATGGGCACCATTTCAAGTTTCTAAATCTCTTCCTCTAAAAAAAAAAACGTAATTACTCAGGGAGGACAAAGATGGAAAATGTTTAAATGTCATGCTTTCTGCTCAGAAATTCCAAATTGATGCAAAATCTTGGTTTAAAAGTGCCTGGTTATGCATGGTTTTTGAAAATGATTTATAATTCAAGCAATGCTAAATACATTTGTGGCTATTCAGCATATATTCTTAAATAATTATCCGGAGTTTTGTATTAACAGGGACATTTTCTATACTTCTTCGGCACCATATTTGTCAAATTGCATTTATTTAGTATTGCAAATTCTATTTGCATTATGAATTGGTATTTATTGCACAATTAGAATAATAAAGGTCATGATCAAAAATATTCTGCTCATAACAAGAATGTTTATCAAGTCCCTAAACTGATCCTAATTTATGACCATTGATGCTCTAAAACATAAATGATTGCTTCATAGCACAAACTGAATAGCCAAATCCAAAATAGATGACAATTAAGATGAAATATGATATTACATGTTCAAATACATATTGAACATGTCATCTGCTGCTCTTTTATGAAATATCCTTTTCCTATATAATTAGAGCCTCTTTGGTTCTTCCAGGTTTTCTTTACAATGTTTGAATTTTACTCACAAATGCCACTAAGGAGTAAAAACAGCAAAATGGTCATAGAAGGCTCCCACTGTCATCCATGCAGTTTTTTTCCACCAGAAGCATTATCTCTCTCCCTCATCAAATCTTGAGGGGCAAATTAACTCTTTCCTTAGTTGTAGAGCAGCGGCCCCCGACCTTTTGGGCATCAGGGACCGGTTCCGTGGAGAGAGGTTTTTCCATAGACCAGAGCAGGTGTAGTTTCGTGTGCTGCCTGCATCCCACAGATGGAGCTTCATTTGTTTGTGCCACCCAGTTTCTGGCACATCACCATGGTTGGGGACCCTGCTGCAGAGGATGTAATGATGTAGTCATCTCAATAACAAATAATAAATCCTAATTTCCTAATTACCAAAGAGTTGCAGATTCTCAAGGCCATTTCCAATGCAAAGATCCTTTTTCCCAAAGACAAATACTCTGAGTGATTATATATTCATGCTGGTAAAGTTTGAAATGAAAATATATATGCACAAATACACGTACATCAAAGTGAGGCAATGCAGTTTATTGTATCAGTTTATTCAGATCAACATGACTGAAATCCTAATCATACATATATGGAAATAATTTCAACCATTTTTCAT